GTTATCGGAACACCCAGGTCTAAGCAAGCTGTTAAATCCCTGACGTCACAGGTAGATAAAATTCTTCCTTCTGTGTCACTTTCACGAGCTTAGTGTGAAAACAAAAAAAACTCGTAAACGGGACCATTTTGGTCCTTTGTTGGTTTCTGTTTGGGAGCTAAGAACAAAATTATCAAGTCAAATTCTTGTGCGTACTGTTTGATTTCTGAGCTTTCAACGAAATGTGTAGTCCGTGACTTTCAGAATTTATTTTCTCTGTGGACTTAACTTTGTCAAAACCATGTCATTCTTGTATGTGAATCTCCAGATAAAAGACATGGCAGTGAAAGCATCAGGTGCTTACAAAAGCTGCAAACCGTGTTCAGGGTCTTCAAACCGGAATCATAACGGAAACTACGCTGATTCGGATGCTGCTTCGGATTCTGGGAGGTTTCGTTATGCATACAAGAGAGCAGGAAGCGGAAGCTCAACACCGAAGATTCTTGGGAAGGAAATGGAGTCTAGGTTGAAAGGGCTTTTGAGTGGAGAAGGAACACCTGAATCCTTGAGTGGCAGGACAGAGTCCACTGTGTTCATGGAGGAAGAAGATGAGCCCAAGGAATGGGTTGCTCAGGTGGAGCCTGGTGTACTCATCACGTTTGTATCATTGCCTGAGGGAGGGAATGATCTCAAGCGGATTCGGTTCAGGTAATTTAACTTTTTAGCATTTACACAAAATAAAAGTTGAGATCTTGAACTGGATCAAGAAGGTATTTTCTGTTTCCAATTGAAGATGTCGAAGACGATACTGAACTGAAATGACCTAATCCGTAGTGTTTTTGATCTGATTTTGGGAATAGAGATGTGTGTTTCTTGGCGACAGCTATCAAGTACGGTTGATATTAAGGATAATATTTTCTGAGATTTCTGTGTTGGAAACTGTTGATGCTTGCATTTTTCCTGAATCAGTTGAAGTGGTCCCCAAACATTTGTTGTAATTATGAGAACCTGTACCATCCTTTTGCCAAGAAAGGTTTTTGAGATGTGGGTTATATTTCGGTAGTTGAATCCGATGCAGAACTTGAAATGGATTCCCCAAGAACATTTGTGTGGGGAAGCGTTTGGTGAATTTAGTTGAATAATTTTTGTAGATGGGACATCTATTAGGGCAGGATGATCTAACTAACAGTCTTCATGGTCTCAGAAAATGGGGACACTTTGGTATCAAGGATTGATATCTCTTAGATTTAATTGACGATGACAGCAGATCCTGAGTTTTGTGTCGAACTTAACACGGTTCAGTGTTCACTTGGTTGCCGTCATCGTATTATGTGTTGTATATGCTTTAAGTTAGAACCTAATTTGTTGATTTCTTCAAATTTCTATTGCTTACAGCCGTGAGATGTTTGATAAATGGCAAGCTCAGAAGTGGTGGGCGGAGAATTTCGACAAGGTCATGGAATTATACAACGTGCAGCAGTTCYATCAGCAGAGCGTCCCGCTGCCAACTCCTCCTAGATCCGAAGATGGGGTATATGCTCTCTCTTCGCTTCTGAACACATGAATCCTATCATCAAATTCAGAACCAGTCTTAATTCTTTGAAGTCTCACTAAGTTTTATGTGGAACCAATTTTGTATAACCAGAGCTCACGAATTCAGTCTAGCAAGAACAGTCCTGCAACTCCACCTCTGAACAAAGAATGCCCTCGAGGAAAAGGCTACACTTCTGGTTCACTCGCTCACCAACCGACAACCCAAACACAAAGTCGATTCCATGATTCAGCTGGTCTTGCTACAACTCCGAAACTCTCTAGCACAAATGGGACCAAAACCGAGACATCATCTGTTGATGGTTCTGCAAGAAGTTGCTCATCAAGG